TAAAACACCAGGCCCGTGCTTAGAATCCCAGTTCTGGGAAGGTGGAGACAGGAAGATCCTCGAGACACACTGGCCAGCCAGTCTAGACGAAAAGTAGCAAGCCGTAAGTCCCAGTGTGAAATGTAATCTCAAACAAACAAGGTGGGTGATTCCTGTGGAATGACACCCAAGATTGACCTCTCACTTCAACAAGCACACATGAAAAACAAATAATGAAAATAGCAAGGACCTGGTTCAGAAGCAAAACAAATCAATGCTACATGGATTGGCAGCTCATCTAAGAATAAGTTTATTTTTTTCTTGGAAGTTTATTAGAAAGTCTTAAAAAAGACCACTGTTAATTTGATATATGTTTTTCATATTATTCATGGGTTTACAAATGACTACAGTTTACAAATACTTGTGTCCATCTAAGCCATGGAATTCAGAAGAGTATTATTTCTCGCTTTACTAAAAACTAATTTCACACAATAGATTTCACTTGATATTTAATTTGATCCATTTGATTCAGTCATTTATATATTCCAAACTACCCATCGATGGGCTATTTTATTTTCCTTTTCCAAATCCCCTTTCACCACAGATTATGGCTTTGGATCGCACCAACAGCTGTGTGTATTTCCCTAGCAACGTAACATTTCTGAGACTTGTGTTTAGGGCATCCATAGTCATGAGTACAGTCAGGCGTTCCCTAGCAAGTCTCTCCTTTTTTAATACTGGGACAGAAACTTGAAAGGGCAGTTCCTACCACAGCTGCCTAATAGGCCCCTATAAAGTGAGGTGGAGCTTCCCAGGGCAGGTGGTTGGGTTATACTGAGCATGGGGCAGGGATAAAGCCCCGCCACAGGAGGAGGCGGGGCCTCACTCCACCTGCCAGTTGTAAGTGCCGTGGTCCTTCTCTTTGGTTTTCCTTCATCACATATATGAGTGTTTGTTTCCTCTAGACAGTGTAACTCTAAATCTGCCCCTCTTCCTCTTCTTCTTCCTCTTCTTCTTTTGTCTTTTTGAGACAGGGTCTCCCTGTAGTCTCAGCTGGCCTGGAACTTGCTATGGAGACCAGGTTGACCTTCAGAGATCCACCCACCTCTGCCTCCCAAGTACAGGGATTAAAGCCTGGCTACCTTGTCTTCTTTAAAATTCAATTTGTTCTTCTTCTTTGACAATTTCATACATGTATATAATGAATTTTAGCCTCTCATCTCTCATCCCCCTCCTTCTCCCACTGAACACTTCTTTTCCCCCAAAATATCCCCTTCCTACTTTTATGTCTTTGGTGTGTGAGAGAGAGAGGGACAGAGAGAGAGAGAGAGAGAGAGAGAGAGAGACACAGAGAGAGAGAGACACAGAGAGAGAGACAGAGACAGAGACAGAGGCAGAGAGAGAAATGGGAGGGAGAAAGCGATCACTTACTAGACTCGGCCTAAATAGTTTTTGGTTTTCTGTGGTAATAAAATCAATTCCCATTAAAGAGTCCATTTTCTTCACTTTTAACGTAGGCAATGGGCTCAGAGAAATAAAGCCACGTGCAGCATCTCACTACCAGGAGGTGGTAGAGGCAAGGTTTGAGGGCAAGTTGGCCTGAAGTAGAGTGGACTTTACTAAGCTGCTTTCCAAGTGAGTTTTCAGGAAATTCCAGGTACCTACTCTTGTTTCTCTGGGCTCTTTCCATCCATCCACAGAAGTCAGGTATTTGCAAAGTGAGAATATAGTGTACCTAAGTGTAAGTGCCTGAGGTGGGACTTTGAAGGATTAGACCTTACTGAACCTGCCGAGCTCATCCTTGACATCTTTCTTCCCAATGTGCCCTGTAGAAAGGCCCTGGTGGCCATATGGATCACAGGACGTGCTCAGCTAACCTAAACTTGAATTGAGTCATTCTTTCCAGAAACAACGGCCTTTACTTCTCTAAAACCCTTAGCAGGATTTTACAGACAGAACAAAAAGAAAATCAGTTTAAATTTAATGTGACTGCTAGTCCCACTAATAAATATCAAAATTACTTTACCCTAATATTGCTACTGATAATAGAAAGTATTTGCTTTTTGATAACTAATCAGCATGTTGGATTTTTAGGCTACCAACCCATGTCATAGCATACCAGAGGCCTTCTGAGTTGCAAGTGCACGCTAATCATATTAAAAGATAATGATTCATACTCTTTTATCTCATTCATACACTATTTCTCGTGACCTGGGCCTACAGAAGCTTGGGTTTTAGATATCTGGGGCTGTGACGCTTTGGAGACTGTGGAAGTAGAGTAGATAGAATGGAGCCCATGGCTGGGCATGGGCTGAAGGATGGGACTGCCAGTCAACCCTGGGGCTTTAGCCCTGCTGGTTAGGGGCCAGTGGTTCCTCTGTCAGAAGCCGAGAAGTCAGGAAGTCTGAGTGGATGATGATGAGTTCAACTAAGGACACAGTTGCCTTCCACGTTCTGTGGAGGACCCTCTAATAGTTGTGCTCAAGAATCAGTTGAAAATGAGGTCATATCTGCAAGAAGGCTGATTTGTTGGGTCAAAGGTATCAGTCATGGGCCTATGGTGCTCAAGGTAGGGGTGGGAAGAGTCTCAAAGGTGGACTAGAAAGAGAAAGAGCCCAGGTTGCATATGGAGTAAGAGAGACCCAAGGACAGACAGAGAAGACGTTGTGGCAAGAGCATCAGGAACAGGGTGCACAAGACGTCACAAGCACACGGGACTGGAGAGGTGGCTCAGTGGTTAAGAGCACCTACATGGAAGCTAACAACTGTCCGCAACTCCAGTTCCAGGGAATCTGATGCCCTCTTCTGACCTCTGTGGGCATTGTACAACATGGGTGCACTTACATACATGCAGGCAATACACTCATACAGTAAAATAAAAATAACAGATAAAAAAGAAATCACCAGCATGGAAAGAAGGACCAAAGGGTCAAAAAAAAAATTTCTGCAAAAGATTCAGCGATCTAGAGTTAGGCCTTTGGGTGTCAAGTTGATTAGCCATGTGGCTCAATCTTAGCACACCATCATGTGTCAGAGGATCCCATGTGAGGACAGGCAGAAGGGAGGAATGATGAAGTGTAGAGCTGTAGCCAGGCATGTAGTCTATCTGCAGAAGATACCATCTCCTTGGGGCTAACTCTATGGTGTCTTTGGGGGGAAAATGGTTGGAGATTCAGAAGTACTTTCAGAAGTAGTAGGAAAAGGAAGGGGGTAAAGACGTCGGCTTGAAGGGACAGAAGAGCTATGAAGAAGGTATTTTAGGACCAGAGTAATACCTACCTGGTGAAGAGAATTCAGGAGAGAAGAAGAGAGGAGAGGGGAGGGAGGGGAGGGGAGGGGAGGGAGGAGCCCGGCGGGCAGGAAAAATGAACGTGACCTATTTTAACCGGGGGGATATGGAGCAGATGTCTCATTCTTGAAGGAGTTGGAGGGGTTAGAACAGGAGTCTCTGGGAAGCAGTAGAGCTCAAGGGATATTCACTGGAGAGAGACCATGGCATGAAAGGATGTGAAGATGTGTTCTCAGTCCTGACCACCCTTCTCAAGAGCATTGGTGACAAGGTCTTCCCAGAAGACCAGCTCTGGAAACACCCTTGGAGATAAAGCATGGTGGAGGAGCTGTGCATGGATCAATGGTGTACTGTGTGCACGGATTAAAATGAAAACAAAATTGTGTCACAGTTGTTTTGTGATTCCAACAATTCTTAGAAGACTGAGTCAGAACAGAGAAGGAAGTTTTAGGGTTCCCATAAAAGAGGTAACATACAATAGTCATTTCAAGTGAACAAATAACGAAGGTAAAGAATGCAGAAAATCTGCAGAAAGAAGGCATTTAGTAAGAGTTCTGCATAGAAAGTTCCTCCACTCCCTCATGGTTCAACCACACGGGCTTGCGGCAGGCTCAGAGAACAGTAAGTCAAGGCTGGGTAACTGGAGAGACATCCTCGGTATATATAGCTGAGTCCAGGGTTTAGGCCTATCTTGGAAGAATAAGAATGTTCATGATCACAGGTGTTGGTGTGTGGAGACCAGACCAGAGGTAACCCCAGGAGTAGGGATGGTAGATGGGGAAGGAAATGTGAGTAGAGGAACATTCCAGAATGCAAGATCTTAGAGACAGGACCATGTCTGCTTTTAAAGCTCCTTAGTCTGTGGTGAGCACTGAAACATTCCAAGGCTAACCACACCCAAACTTCTGTCCTGATGTGGCTTTAAATGTTGGAGTGGGAGTCCTTGGTGTCCCTACAGGGAGGGATCCTAGAGTGATGCTCCTTGGGCTGGTTTTCTTTTCCTATTTATGGGAAACACCTCCTTCCTCAATACTGTGTTATAGAATTACAGACACATTATTTCAGTTCATATTTCCTTCCTTGGGCTGAGTAGATGACTCAATGGTTAAGAGTGCTTGCTGCTCTGCCAGAGGACCCACGTCTGCTTGCCAGCACTATGTTGGGCAACTCACAACAGTCTGTAACCACGGCTCCAAGGGATCCAAAGCACTTTTCTAGCCTTCCCAGGAACCTTCACACATGTGGCATACACACACATGGACACATACATGTATATAAATAAAAATAATAGCAGGTATAACAAAGGAGTCTGTGGTCTCTGTGAAATGGCACTCTTCGACCCAACCTTTTGGACTGATCATTTAGGTCCCTAAGAGCTGTCTCAACCTTCCAGGATGTCTCGATTAACTTCTTTCCATCGACTTCATCTCAGCTTTTCATGTGTTAAAGTTGGGAACAGTCTCAGTTGTGAAAGGTGAAAGGTTAGAATTTCACATCATACCTCATGACAGTAACTCATGTAGGCGGTTCCAAAATTGAGGATGGCCACAATAATGCCACAAGATGGGGACAGGGGCCCATTTCGTGACAAAGCAAAGGAGTCACAGTTCCTGCAGTCTCCACCCAATACTCGTGTCTTCCCAGAATCCTTGTCTGTGCCTCCTTTTAGAATAAGGCCTTTACAGATTTGGGAGTTAGGTGGAGGTCACGGTGAGATAGAGTGGGTGTGAAAGTCAATGACCAGAGTCTCTATGTGAATGTGAAACCCACGGAGGTTCATCGGGAGGTACCTCATGAAGACAGAGGTGGGGCCTGGAGCCACAGAGCTCTCATCCAAGCCCAGAATACCAAGTTCTGCCAGCACCTGGAATTGGTAAGGGGGATTGTTCCCTTCTCCTTGAGTACCATGGCCTGTGACACCTTGACCTCAAATTCCCATTCCCTAGAACTATGGGGGGACAAATTTCTGTTATTTTAAACCATCCAGTTTGTGGCAATCTGCTAGAGCAGTCCTCAGAGGCCCTGGCCATCCAGTTCTCCCGCCAACAAGGAAGCACCTCCCAAGGGACCACATTGCCCCTTGGAGCCAGTCCTGATGCAACTACCATGATTTAAAGACTCTGGAAGCCTCACCCACAGGCTTCATGCCCAGGTAAGTGTGTTTCTTGAGCCGCCCTTGTCATTACAACTTTCTGACTTCCATCTGGACTCCTTTGAACTCCAATCAATGGCTGAACCCAGAAGTTGTTTTGACTTTGCTGCTGGTTTCTAAACTCCCCACTGTGTGGTTTTCAGGTCAGACAGTCAGGCTTTCTTCTGTGAATCATCACCCAAAGATTCAATTAATTCTGGCTTAGTCTGCCTTGTGGCCAGGGCTTGGGGACTGAGGGAGAACAGGAGCGTTTAGGCAATTGCTGAGGAAAGCCAGACATTCGAGGAGCTGGAGGCGCTGACACAGGCAGAGAGCAAGGAGATTAGGGTGTTGGGACAGCAGGGAAGGATGAGGTCACTGGGGGGAGTTCGGCCGCTGGTGCAGGGGAACACAGTGATTTAGGGTGAGAGACAGTAAGGGGGCTTTGTTAACTCACTTAGAGAAGGCTGGGAGTCCAGAGGAGGCCAGACACATGTTAACAGCCCTGTCCTTTTAGGAAGAGGACAGAACCAGGAGTGCAAATCCTTTGAAGTCTGATCACTAAGAAAACTCACATACAACCAAAAAGGGAGAAGAGAGAGCCAGCAGGGGAGGAGGAGAAGAAAGAGGTTTTATCCTGGCAACAGAAGTCAAAGCATGAACTGAGAACTGTTTACAGTTAGTGTAAACATCAATTCAGCCAAATCTGTCACTCAGAGAAAGCGAAGTCTAAAAAATAAACAAACAAACAAAAGACAAGGTTTCTGGAAGGGCTGGAAGGTGCTAAGTTGTGGGTAGGCTTTATCCATAGGGCAGAATTCCAAGTCACACTGCAAGATTCAAACTGAGAAATGGCTCCCATTCTGAGGACACGGGGTGGCTGGATGGCACAGATCTCAGGATGGGATGATTTCTACTGGCACCTTCTTCCCTGGTGGGATTTATTTCAGTGTGCTCCTAGGAGCTTCCTTTTGTGAATTCACTAGAACTCTCCAAGAGGGAGCCAATAAGCACAGGCAAGCGAAAATGAACCCGACTGAGGCTGAGCGTGGCACACCCTTGACTTCTGCTCTGACCCCCACACAGCATGTAGAGCCCAGGTCTACTCTGTGCTGGGACATCACTTAGTTCCCGCAAAGCGTGCGCGTACACTTCCCTTGACTCCTCCACTTCCTTTGCAGGGCCTGTTGTTCCCTTTCACACTATCAAAGTCCTGTCCAGTCCCGAGTTCTTCCACCTTGAAGCTGAGAACATTAGTGCCACCCAAGGCACCGATGGTCCCTTGAGAACAGAGTTGAGTGTGTCAAAGGATGGTATAGTATAGTTCATTCAGTCTCTGATCACAGGCAGGACAACTTCAAGACCCTGGAAGGAGGGCAAATGTGTCTTTTCCTGACTAGGAGACCCATAGAGCCTCAAATGGGGACTGAAATGATGTCAAGGAAGACTGGGGAGATCCGAAGACCTGCCTTTACTTCATGCAGAGCTCTTTACAGTGACTTTCGTCAGTCTCCTTCCTGATTGGGAACAGTCTATAAATTCATACTAAGGTGTAAATGACTGATTGTTTCAGAAATACTTGTATAATTGCTTTTTCAGACTTTACATAGACCTGGAATTGAAGGCATAAGATCAGTGGGGAAGGGAGGCACTTTTTAGAGGATGGGGCTTTTTCAAACTTCTGAAGGCCCCCCTCATGTAGCGTCCTCACAGTATTCTCCAGATTAGCATACACTTTCTCTCTAGGGCTCACTTGGGAAGCTCAGAGGATGTTCCTTTCTCTCCAGACACAGCCCAGTTTGAAATACATCAGATCCACCCCAGCAGCATTTGCAGAAATGGTTAAAGGCTGAGGAGTGGTGTAGCCTCTCTGGTATAATTTAAATGTCTCTGTGCTGTTTAAAGATTGCATTGTCTGATAAGAATTCTCCATGCAGCCTTCCAGCCGGCTGAAAGACTGTTACAGAGGTGAACCTAGGGGTTCAAGAGCTGACAATGCTCCGTTCTCTTCTGCAGGTCCCTGGGGATCTCTGGGCCTCGAGGGCCATGTCTGTCTACTGGGAAGAATGTGCTCTGAGATGCAAAGTGCTCAGCCTGTGTGTCTGTGGCATGTCTATGTGTTTGCAGTGTACTTGTGCGTGTACTTGTGAGTGTACTGGCCACCTTGTTTTTTGTTTTGTTGTTTTGAGACACAGTCCGCCACTCATCAGACTTGCTAAGTAGGCTAGGCTGGCTGGCCAGCAAGTCCTAGGAATCCTCCTGTGTCTGCCTCCCCAGCTCTGCGATTATAAGCCTGGGCCACCATGACTGGCTTTTTATGTGGGTGTGAACTCAGGTGTCCCTTGACTTGCTTTGCTCGCTGAGCCATTCTGAGTTTTCTGAACATGCTGACTGCTTTCTGCCCCATGGCCCGGGACATGTACTTCCTTCTTCCTGAAGCTCCCTCTATAACCTCTCTTTGTCAACATTCACCCTCCTAAGTCTGCCTGGGTACCCTGCCCTGTGCTGCCTAGCTATTTATCTGTCACCACAGTGGGGTTCCTGATGACGTGGGTCACCAGGCCAGCTCTGTGAAACATAATGGTGGCACTTAGCTGTCTATCTCACCAGACAGAGGCACTCTCACTGTGGCTGTGTGCCAGGTACTGTTCCGTGGAGAGACTGCAGCCCTTATTACTGTGACTACTCCTATGTTCCAGTGGAGGGAGCTGAGGCACAGAGAGACCATGTGATATGCCTGAGGTCGCACACCTAATAAGTGATGGCTGGAAAACGACACAGAATTTGAACTTTCAGCCTCTAGAAGAGAAAGAATGTCTTCTCAGGTGCATGCCTGAACTGGTGGCAAGACAGGACCCTGTTTGGAGAGAGGGTCTTAGAAAAACTAACTAGTTAAGGTGAAGTCATTCTGGGTTGGGCTGGGGAAGATCTACATCTAATGATTGGTATTGTCATAGGGACAGAAAGCAAACAAGGAGGAAAGACCTGCAAGTAGAGATGGAGACTGGTACAACACAGCCAGAACTGATGCACCCAGTAGACAGATGTGGCCATCGAGGCCTAGAGATCGCAGGCAGTCACCAGCAGGCAGTGAAAGCTGGGAAGGAGCTTTTACTACAGCCTTGAGAGGGGAGGCTGAGCCTGCTGACCCTTGAGTTGGACATTCAGTTTTCAGAACTGGAAGAAACTTCCCATGTTTTCAGCTGCCCAGATGATGACAATTTGTTATCACCACAAGAAAGTTGCAGTGTTGCTCTGCAGACCTGGAGCAAAAGCCAGCAGTCAGCTCACATTCCAGCTGTTGGAGGTGGCTGATGGGTATCTCAGTTTCTCCTTTAAAAAAAGGGGGGGGGGCGGTTTCTAAGTGACCAGGAGTCTGGCAGGGTTCTCAGCACTGGGGACCGGTTGGGCAGAAAGCCTGACCAAAACTGCATCCCATGCAGTTAACCTGGTAGGAGAAGCAGCTGCATTTGACTCAACCAACAGACAGGTGATGATTTCAGAGGCTGATAGAGCAGTGAAATCAAGTTCCCTCCCAAAGGAGAGCAACAAAAATCAAACACGATGAAGTGGGAAGACCTAACGCATTGGGTGGCCGTGTCCCTGGGCCATGCGGCGGTCACATATTCAGACAAAAGTGCTCTTGGCAATCTGCAGTGCCTGTCTAGCTCACACTGAACTGATCGTCAGGCTGGTGTGGCTGGTGTTCCGGGGCAGCCTGATTTGTGGCCAGAGGGACCTTTCCAAGTGCAGTTTCTCCACTTTCAATCAGCAATAAAACACATGACTATGCAGGCAGCCTGCTCGGACCTCTGCAGGCTCACCAAGAGAGTCCCTGGGGCCCCAGCTTCCTGGGGAGCTGGCAGCCAGGCCCACAGTTACCCGAAAGGACCACACTCCTCCCCTGCCTGGAAGGGTTTCTGGGGCCTGCAGGATGTACCGGGAGTGGACAGCTTGCCTGGCACATGTGGACACACCTCGCCCTGGGTGGACTTCTCAGGTGCTTCTTCGAGGAGACACGAGGCCATTCTAGGTTCTTGACAAGGTTCCCAACGGAACGAGACCAACTCTCCAAATATAACACATGCCCTTAGGGACATCACTCACACACATGGACAGTCTTAAATGCATTGCACGCACACATGCACACACATACACACACACACACACACACACACACACACACACGGCTGAGAAATGTGTAGAAAAGGGCTGGAAGCAACTGCATGCTCTGATTTCTTTTCTATCACTGATTGAGAGTCTGCATTCCCTACTTTTTCTAAAAGCTGACTTTTTTTTCCCTATCCTTTGAAACCAGGCAAGTGACTTTGGAGAAAGCCCTGGTCTCTGAAGTGCCAGGCCACAGACTCTGCTCTTAGGCTCTGTGAACAGCACAGACAAGGCACCTCCCTCCGATGGAGAAGAAAACAGATGCCCCAGGCGAGAAACTCATTTTGACAATTATTGGATCATTTCAAGGTTCTAGAACATCGAAGGAAGGGCAATGTTTTCTTGAAAGCTGCCATTAAAATATCAGAATAATTCTTGAAATGTGATAAGCTTGGAGAAAGGACAAGCTGTTTATTCATGTTGTCAACTCTGTCATTGAAATGATTGGTCATCTTTTTCCACTGATGAGGACTTAATAAATATTATTATTCTTGTTATTATTATTATTATTATTATTATTATTAGGCACTGAGAATTGGACCCAGGGCCTTGTACATGCTAGGCAAGGGCTCACCCACTGAGCTATAACGGCAGCCCAAGGTTTTGTAATGGAAGTTCATATGTATAAATATAACATTCTATACTTGTAGTCTAATGAGTCCATAGATACAGCTGGCTTAAGAAAACGGGAAGGACTTCCAGCCCAAACACTGACTGGACACCTCTGTTCTTCTCTATCCTGAGATCTCAGCCAATTTTGGGGGTGGTGAATTTGGTTTCCTGACTGGAATTGTGACTTGTCCCTCCAGACAAGCGGGTGAATAGGGAGCAGGAAGTGCAGGAGGCCATGAGTCAGCTTTGTGCTGGCACTCGGTGGCCTCAGGGCTCAAAAGAAAGCTTGACCACTAGCCGAAGTCCACAGAGGGTTCCAAGCGAGCTGTGTGAGGCAGGGGGCGGGGGCTGGCTCCTGGGCCAGGCTGGAGACCGCAGCAGGCCTTGCCACGTAAGGCCAGCATCCCAAAGACCCCACACACCATGCTCCACCCTTCCCGGCAGACTTTTTACCCTTCCAGCTCTGACCGCAAAGGGTGGAACCAAAAGGCCTGGGAACCAACTTCCCATTGGTTTTAGTAAATTAAAAATGATAGAATGCGTAATGTATTGGTATCACCTTTTTCCTTATTTTTTTTTAAAAATGTTATATTATAGGGCTGGGAGCATAGCTCAGTGGTAAAGTGCTCACCTAGCACGTGTGAGGTCTAAGTTCAATTCCCAGCAACACACACACACACACACACACACACACACACACAGAGCAACCAATAGTTATTACAGCTCTGTTTGAGAGGTGAATCCTGTTACACTGAAAGATCACCACTTGTTCCTTTCTTGGGTCTTACAGGAGATTAAATGCTGTAATTCCTGTGCACTCTGTTGACACGGGGCTCATAGCACAGACCATCAGGAGCCAATGGTTCCTTCGTTTCCTCTGTATCTCTTCTCTCCCTCTTGGGATTACGCACGTAGGGACCCACGTTCTTGTGTCTCTCGTCTCCCCTTCGGACCACTCTCGCTTCACATTCAGGACAGGCTTTCTCAGAGGTTTGAACACTGAGTTGTATTCTCGAAGCAAGGCTTCATTGAGGTCTCCGAAGACCATTAAACTTGATGCACCTGTATCCTGCCCACATGCGTGTAGGATCTGGGGATGTCAGGCTGGGGCGGACCAAGGCCCTGTTAATATGGTCTCCCATCCCTAGGTGTCAGCTCCACTGAGGTAGGTGTGAACTTTGATTCAATCTCTTAGTCCAGCCACAGGGTTCAGACAGATGACTGTATCCAGGGGAGAGTAAGGGGGGTCTAGTTGAGGGGACAGAGAAGACCACATTGGGGTAGGGAAGAGGCAGTGGCGAGAAGGGGAGACTATCAGAAAGGAGGCTATCAGCCTGGGGAGTCTCAATCTTTTCCAGAGACCGAGGCAGACATTGCCTCCCACGGTGCCTGCGGTGTCATAAGTCTGGCCCTTGGTAGCTCTTTCTCAAGCACTGTAGACATATTTATGAAGTCAGGCCACGAGCTGCTAGAGGCTGTAGGGTGGAATCTTTGGCCTAAAAACAGAGTTCCTGGAACAGCGTTGACACTTCTCAAATAGCAGCTAGCTCGAACAACAACAATAAAAAAGAATGCCCCCCAAAACTCTCCCCCCTCTCTGCTGTTCGGCTCGCTTTGCCTCATCTCAGAGCTCTCACTGAAATGCCAGTGGAAAATAGTCAGTTTCACGGAGAACCCCTGTACGGAAAGCACTGCATGTGAAAACCTCGGTGCTCTGGTTCAGCTTTTCTGCCCACTCCCTCCTTATCACTTTTCTTTATACTGCCAAGCCAGGAGGTTAAAAATAAAACTCAGGTCTGGGGGGATGACTCAGGCAGTAAAGTGCTTGCTGTAGAAGTATGAGGATTTAAATTGGATCCCTAAAACCCAAGCAGAAAAGCTGGGATTAAAACGCATACTTATAATCCCAGTGCTGGGGTGGGGTGATGGAGTGGAGACAAAAACGATCCCCAGGCTCACTGGCCAGCCAGTCTAGGTGCTCCAGGCCAGTTTGAGAGACCCGAAGAGTGACCTCTGATCTCCACATGCACCCACACATACATGTACACCCACACAAACATGCACATATGCATACCTACATACAAAAATAAATAAACCAGACATGCATATATATACTCACACAATCAGCAACCTGCCCAGTTTAAAAATACGAAGGTAAGCCAGGCATGGTGGTGCATGGCTTTAATACTAGCAGTTGGGAGGCAGAGGCAGGTGGATCTCTGTGAGTTCAAGGTCAGCCTGGTCTACAGAGTGAGTTCTAGGCCAGCCGGGGCCACAGGGAGACCCTGTCTCAAAAAGACCAAAAAAAAAAAAAACAAAAAAATACAAAGGTAAGGGTTTAGAACTTGAGCAACAGCACACAGTTACCACCACATTTTCCACAGGGCTAAGTTTTGAGATGCAAGAGTAATTTGGAACTTATGATTTCTTTCTTTTTTAGAAAGTCACCTATCCAATGAGAATAAATTTACTTGGGAAAAGAAAATGACTAACTTGCATTTTCCACAATGAGAAACACATTTTCGTGGCCCTCCAGCCACTTTCTGTCATTATGTGATAAGCGTAAGTGGTATTTGTTTATAAGGAGTTAAAAATATGAATGAAACCTTTAAAAGAATGGCTAAGCAGTGGAGGAGAGACTACAGGGTGGGAGTTGGCACTATGATTGGTCCTGAGTAACTTCCCCTTGACCTGAGAGCCCATATTGGGATTCAAACTGGGAACCGTACTTTGCAATCTAAACAACATAGGCTTCTCGCTACGGTGAGATAGGGCACAGCCATGGTTTTGAGCGGGTCTCTTCTTGTGGTATATCTGGCCTTGAGTTCCTAGAGTCAGCTAACATCAAAGGAAACACTAGAAATGCTGTGGGGACCCCAGATAGCTGGAGGGTTTGCTAAAATTAGAAGTGAGGTAGCCTCAGCTCTGGAAAGGATCTTGATCATCTGCTTCCACAGACCCTCACGTACTGCCTGACCCTCAAAGGGAACTATGTACTCCACAGGCTCCGATGTCTTCAGAGTTGCGTAGCTCTTACTGTTTGGGGATTCTTCTTACCTGTCTTAACTTCATACTGATACTCAAATCCATTTCTTCTTGCTGTGGAGCTCTGTGTAGACAGGGGGTTGCCAGACCACACTTTTCCCTATAGACTTTGTAAGATGCTTATCATCATCAGAGACCATCCAGCAAGCTCCTCCTCTCTCCCCCTATCAGGATGCTGTGCTGGGCCTTCTCTGCATTGGAGGTGTACCTGGTGTGCAGGGAGGGTCAGGGTCAGCCTCATGTGTGGGCTGAGTGAGTGGTCACCTGGGATGCTCCGGAGTTACTCTGCTCCATCTGTCTCTCTGCCCATGTTTCCCTGGCAACTCTAAGTGTCTACCACTCAGAATTTATGGTTTGGGGGTTAGTCGCGTCGGGCTGGACTGTGCTGCTCTTTTAAGTCCTGTGTCCATCAGAGGGTTTCATATTAATATCTTGGCTGCCCTGATTTCCTCTTTAGGAAGTATATAAGGGAACAAGAAGATTTGAGAGAGGGAATGGAGAGAAGGAAGGGTCTTAGGAAACGTCTGACCCAAATGGAGTCACAGAGAACTTCTGTTTCCCCAAGAATGCCCTTGTGGCTTCCTCAGAAACCCCACAACACATTCAGAGACCACCATGGGGTCTTCAAAGATAACAGTGACAGTTCCTAGTGAGCCTGCCATCCTCATCTTCCTACTCCCCCGGGGAACTTTGTTTAGCTTTGGACACCAGGAGCCTTGACTTTCAAGAGTGAGAAGGGAGCCAGAGAGCCCCAACCACATCTTACTTTGCCAACCTATTTTTCCTTAGGACCCAAACAAACCAGAATCTCTCTTACCCCCTACATACATGCCACAAAGCACAGCCCTGAGTTGTGTATCCCAGAGTAGTCCTTTGCTTTGAAGGAGCCAGCCTCCTTCAAAGGCTCTCTTTCACCAAGGGAGGAGGAATAGACTGGACCCCTCCAGGTGTCCAGTGGTGAGTGTGTCTATTCTTAGGGTGAGTTACAGTGGCTGTCAGCATCGGGAGCCCTGAATCCAGGCCTGAGGGTGAACAGGGTACAAACAGCTGGGCAGAGTGGCCTTCATCTGTTGCCAGCTGGACCCAGAGATGGTGCTTGGAGGCTGGTGTGATCTGGCTGCTTTTAGCAGACATTTCCCAAGCAGCTCTGGTGGCTGTGGCTCCAGGCCTGGCCCAGAATAACACATTGTTAGCATATGTTAATAGTCTGTCTTTTCTCCAAAGATCACAAAGTGCATTTCCTTTAGTGTCTGTTTTGCAAGTGTTACTATTTGTTTTATGGGCAACAAAATCATGATACAGTGAGGTCAAGGTCAGGGAGCGCCCACTTTGAGTGGGAGTGAGTTAGGGGCTAACCCAGGAGACCACGACTCCTGACTCTTAAGCTGTTACTCACCAGTGTTTCCCCATGACCTTTCTAAACTCCTTCCAGAATGGTCTCTCTGGCTGGCAGATCTCAGGATCTGGTAGGAGTTAAAAGGAACACGTGTGTTCCGAACTCCCTGAGAGAGAATGGTATTAAAAACACACGCGCAATCTAGTGTTCAGCATGTGGGAGCACAGATGAAAGAGCTCGCTGTTTCGGTACTGGGTTCTGTGACCACACGTGGTTAGGCCTCCGCCCCAGAGGAAACACGTGAAATTGAAAACGAGTGGAAGGGCCGCCGGCCTCGCTTCCCTCCATTCCAGCACAAGAGCTTGCAAATCCTAGCCTTTTCTTCGT